ACCAAATCTGCTAGTACTGACACATCGACAGAAACTACCAGTAGCGACAGCCCAACAACTACAAGTAAAGACACATCGACAGAAACTACCAATACTGACAGTACCGACAACTCAATCACTCCAGATAATAGCACACCAACCAAATCTGCTAGTACTGACACATCGACAGAAACTACCAGTAGCGACAGCCCAACAACTACAAGTAAAGACACATCAACAGAAACTACCAGTAGCGACGCCAGTAGTGACAGTACTACAAATACAAGTACCAAATCTACTAGTACTGACGACAACCCGACGAGTACAAGTGATAATCAATCAACTGAATCTACTTCCGCTTCCTCAGCGAATAATGACAATACTGACGGTCCAACAAGCACTAGTAGTGATAATAGCAACAGCCCAACAGCTACAAGCAAAGGCAAAGACAAAGAATCCACCAGTACTGACACTACCAATACAAGTACTAGTGACATGCCGCTACCTTCGGTGGGAAGTATCACATCGTCCACCCCAGAGATTACGCCCCCACCCGAAGATAGCACGACAGTCGAAACTCTCACAACTGAGTCATCTTCAGACAAGTCTACAGACAAACCTACAGACACGATCACGTCGAGCCCTAGCTTGCCATCTTCTGCGACACCCACAGAAGAGTCTAGTGTAGATGATACTCCCACGTCTGTGCCGACCGCATCCAGTACAGGCTCCCCTGCGCAAACAAGCAGTTCAGAAGTATCAGTTGAGCCTACTTCGGTAGATACTTCGTCTAATGATAACAGTCAAATCACCTCCACGACGATGGTGGCGGGGCAATCTCCAACAGCATTACCTTCAGACAATAATTCCATTACCGATGGAACACCGTCATCATCTACACCTTCAACAAGTATACTTGACGTTCCCACAAATGATATCCAGTTGCCATCACCACAGCCTGGGGTTGAAGTGACTCCCACAACTACAAATTCTAATTTACCGGACATGATCCTCCCCTCAGGCGTTGTCGAACCGCCGGGTAAATAACTATGTCAATAATTATCGAATTTTTTTCCATATATATGTTTCTAATTCATTTTGTTGTTTTTCCTTCGCGACAATAATAGAGAACGGTGTTACAATACAATTAAAATTCACTACAATTACTTGGGGCGACATTCTAGAGGGTGGAGGAATATTGGGTTCTCAAATTGCTGTACTGTTACCTCAGGATATTGGTAAAGCTGTCGACATACCAGCAAGTTCTGTAATAGTTCTTTCGGAAAATAATGATAATGGAGCTGTCGTGTTGAAACTTTCTATTCCTGAGAATAGTTTTGGTGATGTGAGCAATGCTATTAAAAATCCCTCAAGTAAGTTGTATACCGAGGGCTCAAAGTTTACTCAATATTTGGATACAACATACCCACTTAGCCCCCCGAATCCTGATTCAGGTATGTGTACCAGTTGTCAATTTCTAATAGTTGAAAGGCAATTGAAGTAGGGCGCTAATCATCCTCTTTTGCATACAGTTACCAGTGTTACGGGTCCGAGCGACGGTGGAAACGCAGATATCTCTAATGGAAATGATACCCCAGGTTCCAGCGCAATAAATGACAGTGCCAACGCAGGATCTGGTCACAGAGCCTTGGTAGTGGTCTTGGCTGTCGGACTTTCTACGTTCTTATATGCTGGACTAACTGCACTCGTAATTCGAGCGTACAAGAGGAACAAAGCTCGTGCTGGTCACCGCCAAACGGATTACACGTACGGTCCGGCTATTGCATCACCAATGATGCGAGAGACTGTCCTGACTTGATATAGCATTGCAGACAGAAAGATTTAATCACGGGTTTATTTATGATTAAAAAGGTTGTTGACGTATACCTGGATACTCGTTACAATTATCTTGTTAATAGTTCATAATAGCCCATATTTTATTTATTTCGTAAATTATAATACTAGATCGGCTCTTGCCTAATTAAAAACTGTCCAGTATATAGAACAAATTGAACCTCTACAACGGACAGTTTCGACACAACGTGCTTTCATGTTCTTTTGTGTAAAATTAATCCGAAAGTCATTGTATTTCTTACTTACCAGTACTGATATTTGTATTCTACACGAGATGGGGTCAACACAGTAAATAAAACGCAGATTGCATAATATTACCAAAATTGTTGGGTTTGCTTTCTTATAACAAAGATTGTGTTACGAAATAAGTTAAGGAATAAGAACTTTAAATCAATAATGCATTTTATATATAATATGCACGCCATGAATACCTTTTATCCTTCTAAAATATTTAACACTAATCTCACGTGATCTCACACGCTGAAGGAATTGAGCCGTCTTCTGTTAATGCAATTCCAACGCAATTGACTTTTCCTTCCCCGTGACACGCTGTATCATCATTTCAAATGACCCAAGCATCTGCAATTAACAATATTGTGATAGCCATTACTCCACACTGAGATGGACGGCCGGAATTTTCTCCTATTTATACATTATCCCACACGAGGTGGTAGTTTCTTCCAATTAAAACAACTTTGCTGTACGATTTTCGACTCGCAGAACACTAAATGGGTGCACAATCTATTGTAACTGATTGGACAGATAGATGTATCCGTGGGAGCTCCCATACTAATGACCGCAGTATGTGCGACAGAGAATTCTTATTTATACTATATCGATGTAGATAGCTCATAATGTTTTCCGAGAATCAATACGTTTTTGAGAAAATAAATATTTTCTTGATAGAAACAAAAATACCCCATGAAAAGATCAAATTTCTTAAAAATACTATTTCTCTAAAAGGTGGTCGTATCGTAGCGAACCCAAGCACGGCAGATGTAATTTTGACTACATTGAAATCACCGGCTAGAATTAGTCGATACATTGGCAGTGAAACGCGTAAACCAGTAGTGTCTGTTGAATGGGTCGACAAATGGTATGCGTTTTTTAGAACTATGTTCACCCAACATTTACTGTATTGATATGACGTGTCTTTTTATCGAAGTGTTAGTAAAGGCACTCGTCTAGAATTTAAAGATTATCTTGTAATGGGTATAGAAGATGCAATGGATTGGACTACTGTAAAAGAGAAAGAGGAAGAGGAAAAGGAACTGTCTGATGAAGACGGTAATAGTTTAAGTAGTCGGTAAGCTTATTCTTATGGATAACCATACACTCTTTCAAAGTTGATCACATTACTTGTTCATATTAGATCGCCCATTTACACAAGTGAGAACGAGTCTTCAGATGATGATAGAGGTCAGTAGTGACAATTTTGAGGATGTCAAACGCAAATTGTTAATGTCAAAATCCTTAGCAGATGTCGATTTGGATCCTCGATTCTTGAACACTTCGTACGAATGTCTGCGACCAACTCCGTTGAAGTCTAAATTTAATGTCAAGCTTGTTGAATTGTTGGAAGTAATAGAAAGAGCAAGGGAATTGAACGATCAGTGGAGGAACGCGTTAAGTTATCGACGTGCAATTGCCGTGCTAAAAGTAGGTTCAGCTCCCCTACTAGTTTTATTTGATGTTCCTCTATTAATGCATTTGTTTGAATGTAGTCATATCCTCGTGATATTATTAGCCAAAAGGAAATAAAAAAAATAAGAGGTAGAACGAATAAACAAAGTGAATATCGTGGTATGGTCTGGTGATCGTAATTTTCTATAAAATTTAGGTATTGGGTCTAAAATTGGCTATCAGGTAAAGTCATATCTCAGAACTGGAACGATTGCTGAGGCGGAGCACATTCGTCAAGACAAGAGATTGCATACGCTGGAATTATTCGCCAGTATTTATGGTATTGTCAAGTTCCAGTTTGACTCTTACATGTGTCACATCACTAATCTATTTATGGCTCCCAGGTGTTGGCCCCAAGACGGCTTTATCGTGGTATCGTAAAGGATATCGCACAATAGAGGATTGCAAGAACCATCCAAATTTAACCAAGGCTCAACAGCTTGGACTGCAACTGGTTGACGATCTTCGGGAAAAGTATTCGTCATACACTTTATAATGTTAAGATAAATATATTCAGGACATTACCTCAAAACTTCACCGTTTGTTCTCAAACGCAGAATGAGTCGAGAAGATGTCGAGGAGATTTATACAATTATCAAAGAAAACATAAAAGAATTAGACCCGAAATGTATCATACAGCCTGTTGGTGGGTACAGACGTGGCAAAGATTTGAATGGAGATTTAGACCTTTTAATCTCACATCCCGATGAGGAACGTGTTTCATCTTTGTTGAACGACATAATCACGAGACTAACGGAAGGCGGTATGTGCTATTATTATTCACCAGCTTGTATATATTTGCAATTACTTAATATGCCTTTCAACAGGATATATTAAGCATCTGCTATACTGTGCACGAAGCGAATCGAGAACCGATAGTAAACACGGTATTATAGATCATCTGGAAAAGGTATAAACGCTTCCCATTGATACATTTGATAATATATTAACAACGACGTTGTTGCATACCTTTTCGTGTAGTGTTTTGTTACATTCTTACAACCAAGCACTCAAATTAAGCGACAAGTCGACATGATCGTTGCAACGCAAAGTCAATTTGCATCTGCAATGGTCGGTTGGACTGGTAAGTTTAACAGTCATCCTTTATAAAGAGGAGAATGGATTTGTCAATTCATCCATTATGTAAAAAAAAAACAGGATCACGACAATACGAAAGGAGTCTCAGAAGATACGCGAAAAGGGTATCATAATGCAAAATATATTTTGTTGTATACTAAGTTATGCCATTCTTTATCAATCCTCACATTCCAATGACTGTTTCTAGGAGAAAAAAATGGTTTTCACCTCCCATGGACTGTTCACAAATACCAAACCACGCAAGCTAATTTCGACATCGACCGAGAGAGAGATATTTGATATTCTTGGTGTGCCTTGGCTAGAGCCAGAGATGCGGAATTGCTGAAACTTTTATTGCTCTTTTCACAGAATATGCTATTGACAGAAAAAGATAACCACTAATACCCAACTTGGCCAGCATTGTCAGGGAATTGTTCAATGGGTTGCTGCAGAAACAAATTTACATAAAGCACTTTAAAAAAGGAAGCATTTTTCAGAACCATAATAGGATAATGTCGTATAATCTAGTGTTGTGATCCTTCCGTTATAACTGTGTCTAATGGCGGAGCCAGTAACTCTTCAGTAGGAGACAACACCATTTTTTCCACGGCAGTCAACAACCTGTTGGGTGAAGGTGGTTTTTCTGAAGAAAATTCTGGTTCTGTCATGCATATTGGGGAAGTGGATTCGTCAATAGGAGTAAACGCTCGTCCGGACGAGAAATCATCCGGAGAAGCCGAAAGCTTATCGCCTGAGCATATTTTTTTGTTCGTCGATGGAATGTCGACAGGGTCTGTTTGATGTCTTGGAAGAACGGCCTGCGTTTCTAATGCATCGTCCAGTCCGCTTATGGCAGGCATCGTCTTTCGAGCAGGTTGATAATCAACACCAACTCCCTCGGCAACAACGTCCACCCTGACCTTTGATCTACCAACCATGGATTCTAAACTGACAACTCCGCGAATTTCTCCGACTTCTTTAGGTCGGAAAATGACAGGAAGCATGATAGTTCCTTTCGCTTTGATTGTTAGACTAGGCATTGACACAGATAATACATTGTGACCTTTCTGAACTGACGATGTTACTTCACATTTACATCTGAGTCTAACGGCTACATTAGTCGGGTTTTCTATCCTAATAGACACAGTTCTTGTCTTTCCAATTCTGGTCATTGGTATTTTCACTTCTTTATTCGATACATCAAACTGAAGGCGCTTATTATCCTTCCCGATGGGAGGAGGTGCTCTAGCCTCCTTCCCATCACCGGATATTTGTAGGACCACGCCGGCGTTTCCTCCAGAACCTACCTCAATTTCAGTCGTTGAGGAGTCTTCCAAGATAAATGCTTGAGAATATGAGCCAACATTCACCGGGCGGAAGACGACTTCTACTCGTTCAGACTGTCCAGGTCGTAGGAAACCACTCGATTTGTTGAGAACAAATATGTTTTCGTTTACCTTTATTCCAGTTGAGGCTCGAGACTCTGCACGTTTGAATACGGGTTTTGCGGTTGGTATTATTTCCCAAGTAATTGGCTTGGTCGTGTGGTTGTAAACATGAAATATTCCTTTGGTCGTTTGAAATTGTGCAGTTGTCGGTACAGTAATAATGCCGGCGACGCCTATGTAAATGAGGTTTTTTTTCTGTGCTAATTCCCTAACGGCCTTTTGTTCTTCGACAACCACCTGTTCAAGACCTTGCTTGTGGGTACTATATTTGCCACCGGTTGAAGTGCAGGAAGCTGAATTTTCAGTTGAGTCATTGCCTATGTCTTCAAATTTCTTCTCTTCAGTCATTCTCGCTTTATACGACGGTTATATTTATTTTTTTAATTAATTACACTCATTATTATATCCTGAGACGCTGTGAAACAATGCATTGAAGCTTGATCACGAGCTCTTGAGAAATCGTAATCGGAATTAAGATGTAGGGGTATGCATGAATACAAACTTGGTGATAACACTCAAGATCGTCACATTAGAATAACATTCACATGACGAAACGGGTTGCAAAAATCGGTACATCCTATTAATACATCGTTTGCCAAAATTACAGTAGCGTGCAAAAGTGTCCTAACGTTCCTAACACGTCTCCGCATTTGTTTCTACGCGTCCCTTGGACGCGTGATTGAATTAGAAGGAAAATCATTATTATAAAGCGCATACCGCAGCAATTCATTTAACATTTTATAAATGAGTGATATTGATGAATTGACCAGTGTGACTGATAATTAATAATGTTTTGAAAAATAATGATGATGTTCATTCATAACTTATGGACCTGTTAATTTCAATGTTCACTTTATCATACCAGATAGTAGGGTATTCTTCTCATTAATTGACTAAGTCTCTAAACACATTAGTTCTGTCTCCTAAAGCTCTTTTAGTCCACCTGAAGTAAGGAATATTTTAGGCTCTTTTTCTCTCTCCCACCTAAATATTCTTGAACTCTCTTAATTCAACTGGATCAAGTTCCTGTTTAGATTTCAAAGCATTCACAATAGTCTTGAGATAGTTTTTGGTAGCTAGTTCATTATGGTATTTACTATTTACTATCTCACTTTCTTCAAAATTCTAATTTTCTGTTAAAATCACTATCTAATTCCATTCATTTATTGTAGCCACCTAACTCACCTTATCAAAATCCCGTAATAGCAATTCCTGGTGATGTTTAACTACATCAGACGGATTAGTATTAGTAGTGTCGAGGCAATAGTCACGGGAGAGCGGATAACTACTGTCTCAGTTTGGGATCTAGCTGCGCCGTCGTAGGAGTGTGGTTCACCTCAGCGATAGCTAAATCGTAAACAAACAGTTAGTGACCTTTTAAATTAGGCTTTTCAGTGCTGACGTATTCAATCCTAGATAATTAATTATTCTCGAGAAACACAACTACTCTCTACCGGTGGATTAATTCGGTAGTCTGTAGGTCGG